CGCCTGCGGGTCCAGGCAGACATGCAGCCCCCGGGCCGGATGCGAGGAAGCGGCAGACACGGGCAGGGGCATTTCCGGGCGGTTCCAAGCTCTGTTCAGACACAGACAGAAGCTGCAGGATGGAAGAGAAGAGTAGACGCTCGGCCCAGCCACCCCGGGAGACAGAGGCAGAACCCACAGGTGTGTCCACGGGTGTGGACAGACAAACAGGCACCTTGGGGCCCTGAAGTCTGACACCTGCTACCATGTGGGTGGCCTGCAAGGAAATGAGCCAGCCCCCAAAGGACAAGTCCTGAGTGACCCCACTCATAAGGGGTCCCTGGAGTCTGCAGATCTGGGACAGCAGTAGACTGGATGTCAGGGGCCAGGGAGGAGGTGTTGGCGTGGGGAGATGAGAGTTGCTGTGGGTGGGTGGTGCCTGGCGGCATGGTGCATGCCTGAGATCCCAGCACTCAGGAGGCTGAGGCAGGAGGACGGCTGCGAGTCTGCAGCCACTCAGTGGGCTACACAGTGAGTTCAAGTCCAGTTTGAACTACACAGTGAGACCCCACCATCTCCATAAAAATAAAAAAATAAACAGAGGGTGTTGGACAGGTCCTAATTCCCAGGTAGGTCGAGCAGCTCTGGGGGTTACTGGGGGTGACTGCACAGTGGAGGAACTACAGAGTACAATGTGATGCTGTATGTTTCAAAAAGCCAGAAGAAACGCTTTTGAAAGGCTCCACGGGAAAAAGTTAGAGGCAATGGTTACACTGCACTGAGTTTAACACTGCAGTGTATGCTCGTGTTGGCGCATCCCATGGCATCCCACTCGAATGCACAATTCTTATGTTTTTATGTTTCAGCTAAAAAGAAACTTAAAAGCAAATCCAGATGGCTTGGGGATCAAATTCTACGGTATGCATATTTTAACACTTTTTTAAAACTGTTTTTTGAGATAGGGCTTCAATATGTAATCCAGGCTAGCCTTGAACTCACGAGGTAGTCCAGTCTGGCCTTGAATTTGTGATCTTCCTGCCTCAGCCTCCAGAGTCCTGAGAAGAACACCTCAAATATTTTTGGCCAGAGTTATAGTTTTGGAATTTAAATCTTAGGACTTCAGATTTTAGGGAGTTTTGATCTTTTGAGATTTCAGTATCTGGGATTATGGCATTCAAGAGTATACTCTTCAGGCCACCCATAATCCCAGCACTCAGCAGGCTGAGGCAGGAGGATTGCCCTGAGTCTGAGGGAAGCCTGGATTACAAAGTGAGACCCTATCTCACACACACAAGAAAGTATACCATTCAGGATTATGGCTCAAAGCCCCAGGTATACACCCCAGAGAAGTAAAAGCAAGGATCCCAACAAGTACATGCCTAGCACGTTCATAGCAGTAAGAGTCAAAGTGGCCAAAGGGGAACAACCAGTGACCAATGAGGAATTGTGGGTAAGCAGGGTGTGTGTAGGAAGGAAGTCCCCAGCCATAGCAGGAACGAGGTCCTGGGTCACACAACAACATGGAAGAACACCAGGACGTGGGGAGACAGGACCCTGGCTTTTTCTCTTTTTCTTTTTTTGGGGAGTAGTACCAGGGTCTACCAATGAGCTGCATCCCGGCCCTATTTGTTTATTTACCTACAAGACAGGGTCCAGCTAAGGTACACCCGGGCGAGGAGAACCTGTGGCAGAACAAGCTGAAAGCCGTTCCCCAGGGGCAGGATAGAAGGATAGGGTGGCAGCTTTGAGCATGGGGCCCTTTCTGGGGGACAGAGTGCCCCAGAACCAGGCCCCCTGTGACACCCGGCCATGTACTTGAAAGCTGGCGATTTAAGTTCCCTTCTGTGAAAATGGTGGCGGGGTCGCTCCAAGCATCCCTGGGGGTGGTGGCAGGAAGCCCCCAAGACCCTTTCCCATCACGGGCAATGTCTTCCACCCGGCTCCCCACACCTCTGCACCCACCTGCCCGGCACCTCCTGGTCCCCCAGGACCTTCCCCGACGTCACCGTGCTCCGCCCCAGCTCTCGTGGCTCCGGGCTCCTGGGGGCCTTCAGGACCTAATGCAGTGGCTGCAGTCAGAGTCGGGACGGAGGCTGCAGAGTCCCATCCTGCACCTCAGAGCCAGCCGGCCTCCTCTAGTTCTCAGGCTGGGTTCTCAAAGCTTTTCGGGGACCTGGGGACCTCCCTTCGGGAGCTGCCTCGGCAGGAACCCCACTGACCCCAGGGACATGGCTCCAGGTGCCCTGGCTGCACCCACACTGGTGGAAGCAGTGGCCCCGGGCACATACCCCTGACTGTGCGGAACTGGGGACGAAGGTGACAATGCCGGGGCTCATCTGGGAGACCACAGGGACCGCCTGGCCCTGCATGGCCTCCCTCTGCTTCCGGTAGACCTCCTGTAGCCGCTGGCTCCTCCGCTCGAGCGCGTCCGTGGCTGCAACCACCTGCTGCAGGGCCTGCTGCCACCGTGCCTGTGTCTTCTGGTACATGAAATCGCACAGGGCCTCGGAGCTGTGCGGCCGGCCCAAGAGCCCCCGGGGCTGCAGGTGGGGTGGGCATGACTCTGTACCCGGCTCCTTCCCTGGTAGGCTCCGTGGCCAGGCCTGCTTGGCTTTCGAAGGAGGGGTGACAGCGCCTCTGCCCTTGCAGGCAGATCCAACCCTTTGCAGGAAGGAGCCACTCCAGGGGTGCTGAGGGGCCGGATACGGTCTTTCCAGAGGGTGCCGTGGTCTGGGGACAGGAACCTCCCGGTCTTCGCCGTCCACCCAGACTCGTTGAGGACCGGCCTGACCGGCCAGGGCGCTCCAAGGCCGCTGAGAAGAGGGGCTCAGCTTCTCGGGGGGACTCGGAGGTTTCTGGAAGGAGGTGTCCCATCCTCCGGCTGCACAGGCCTGCTGGTGACAGGGTTCCCACTCCCCCAAGGTGCTCACAGGGTGCTGGGGTGGGGAGCGCCTGGCCCTGTCTGAGGAGGAGCGCGTCTGCTCTGTCACTACCCAAGGCCTCTGTGGGAAGGCGCCCTGCTTGCGCTGCTTGCTCCAGGGACCCCGCTGGCCCAGGTTCTGTGGTTTCAGCTTCAACGGCCTGCGCTTCTGTCCAGCCTCAGGGCCCTGGGCCAGTTCCAGCTTAGCCTGGGTTTGCTGGCGGAGACCTTGTAGGACGGCCATGGTGCTCTGGATCGATGCCTGCTGTCCGTGGGAAGCCAGGAAGGCTGTGTTCTCGGACTCCTGTGGGTCACTGAGGGCCGCAGTGGGCCTGTGTGGCCGTGTGTGGGCCAATGAGCCCTTGGCTGCTGTGGCCTTGCTGTCCCCTGCAGTGACAAGTATGTCGGGCCATGGGGTGGCACCTGTAGACCTCGTGCTCATCACAGACACACATCAGCCAGGGAGGGCAGGGCCATGACTGGGCAAGCTGCCCACGCTGCTCTTAACACTCACAGGGACACACAGGCAGGGGACGAGGCCATAGGAGCAGCAGCTCCTGCCTGCCCTGGTCCTGTCAGGAAAGCCCTGGTGGCACCATGTGGCACCTCTGGGGACAGGATTCCTTGCCCTACAGTTGTAAAGTCATTACTCCCCGATCCCCTGTGCAGGGTAATTGGCAGGTCTTGGGGAGGACCGGCCTCCTCCCTCTCCATGGCGTGGACATGGGCATCTCTGCTCTGTGCCCACCCTCGGGCACTGTGACAGAGTGGGGCACAGCCTGGCACAGGCGGAGGTACCTAGTCCCATAGTGGGGCCGGTGCTCCGGAGTGTGGGCCGGGCAGGAGGTGGCCCCAGCAGCAGTCTGGCCAGCTCTTGTCCTCTCCTCCAGGCACGGACACCAACAGACTCGGGGTCTTGGACAGAAAGAACACGCATGGCCAGTGTGTGGGCCTCAGCATGTGGAGGGCTCATTCCCAGCCTGGCACAGCCTCTGCCTGCCCGGCCGGCCAACACAAGGCCAGTGTCACCTCAGGGTGCCAGGAGCAGGTGCCTTGCAGCTCTGACCCTCATGTCCTCCTCAGTACAGCAAGGATGGCAAACCTGGCCCTGGCAGCTTTTAGTAGGGCTACCAGCTGGGCCCGGGTCCACAGCAAAGGCTGTGGCGAGAAACCACACTGGGCACCCTGCCCCGGCTGTACCCACACATTCGGGGTGTCAGGCGACCCCCGAGATCAAGCCCTGTGAAGTTGGTCAGGCTCAGAGGCCCCAGCAGGGCATCTGTGAGGCCACAGAGACAAAGGCCCCGCCGCGTCCCCAGCAGGAAGGAGCCCCCCTAATAAACGACACACCATCCATGTCACCCGCCAAGGCCTTGCTTCACAGTCCCAGGGTGTCGTCCCCAATTCCACCGAGGTCCGTCACCGCTACAGACCTGTCCAGACGGGCCCAGCAGAGTTGGAAGTAGACCACGGGCCACACTGGTCACGTGCGCGTGCACGCGCACGCACACGCACACACACACACACACACACACACACACACTCAGGCCAGCCAGCCCGGCAGCTCTGAGGGCCCCCTGAGTAGTACCTGCCCACACTGCTGGCATGCGCCGGGCTCACGCTGGGGCCTGGGTGCAGACAGGCCACTGTCCTCCCTTCCACAAACTGTTGTCATCAGCCACGGGCCTGAGAGTCGTCTCCAGGAGGGAGCCTGGGCCCAGCCTCTCTGTGGACTGGAACTCTGGGCCAGGGAGCCAACAGTTGGCCTCAGGGAGTCCAGCCCCACCACTCACCAGCTTGGACCTTGGGCTTTCAAACCCTAAATGGGGAGTGTGCCCAACAGCACCTCCCTCAGGGCCACCAAAGTCAAAGGGCAGTTACCAGCTTTGAACCCAGCCCTCTTTGCTTTTTAGCTTAGAGATAGGTTCTCACTGAGTTGCTCAGGCTGGCCCCAAACTTGCAGTCCTCCTGCCTCAGCCTCCCAAGTTGCACCAAATGCTGAGTGACCTTTTAGCAGGTGGCCTGAGAGGAGGTCTGGATTCTGCTGGCATAGCCCAACTGTTCACACGTGGGTGTGAGTGGGTTGGGCGTGAAGACCAGATGCATAGCTTCTCCGCTGTGCCCTGCAGGTGTTCTGCACACAAAACTGGCCTTACTGCCCTGCAACTGGGCCAAGAGCTGGGACCACGGCAGGGAGGCCAACGGCACATGGCCTGCACCCCCAGGCCCCTCCGTCACACAGCCAGCTCCCCATCAGCCCGGCAGAGGGGTTCTAGTCGATAAATGGGTCCTGGCGGGCACATTTTTTCTTCTGCTGAGCAGTTTAATGGCAATTAATTTTTTTATGAGGGGATTTTTTAATCTGTGGAAATGGATGAAGTCCCCAGGTGCCCTGTCACAGCTCCAGGCCAACCTAATCTATGATAAAAAATGCAAAGCGAGGTGGTATAATCGGAAATTAAAGATCAGGCTTCATTTTCCTCTGGCCCGGATGGATGAATATTTTATAACTATTGTGATTTAATTTTTTGTTAACTACAGCAAATTTCCAATTCATCCAATTCCCAAGTCCGGTGGCTCTGACCCCTGAACCCAGACTCATCTCTCCTTAGCCCAGCTGCGACTTCGTCACTGACAGAAACTAATGGTGACCACCGCCGGGCTGACACAGAGCTCACGATGATGGATGTGGCCCATGGCACGCCCTCCCGACCCCATGTCAGGCAGCAGGCAGGCCATTTTTCAAGAGAGCCATTAACCCAAACAAACCAAAAAGCTGGGGTGGGGTGATGACACGGACAGGGGCACATCTTGTGCATTTGGGGGGCTCCAGTGTCCCACACTTTTTCTGGTGGGGGTTTCTTCTGTCCGGGGTCACCTCTGCCCACCTGGTAGACACATGTCACGTGGCCCCCAGGAGCTTCCCACCTCTGGGGACCTGTCGCCCAGCAGAGCCCATGTACAGATTCTTCCGTCTGAAAGCCATGCTGTGCCTGGGGGTAGAGGCACTAACCTTGCTGGGCAGGAACCTGTGCCTGGCCCTGGGGTCACACACAGGGTCCTACTCGGCCTCCTGTCCCCCAGGGTGCCTTGGCCTCCCCACCTGGGGCTCCTGGTGCTGTTCCCAGACCCCAGAGGCAAACAGCTGCTCTCAGGTTTGGAACACAGGCATTGAGCAGGTCCCGGCTCTGCCCGCCTGAATGGTCCGGGGCAGGCCAGAGAGACTCCTTCAGCCTCAGCTTTGCAGTACACCTGCTTCCAGGGACTCACCTAGGGGCCCACCCCACAAGCTCTGAAAACCACACCCAAGGCCCAGCACCAGGGTCTTTGCAGGGCCCAGACCCTGGGGTGGGGACCTCAAGTAGAAATTCCCCTGCCCCCACTCCCAATGTCACGGAGCAGCCAGTCATGAATTTAAGGGACCCGCAGACACCCTCTGGCTTGCGCCCTCAGACCTGCCAGCACGCCATGTCCCTGCAGGCTGCGTGCCTGCAGCAGTGAATCTAGGGACCAGTGCGCTTTCGCTTCATCACAAGGGATGCCACACTGCACAGTGTGAACTGGGGGTGCAAGATCCCCAAGACTAGGTGCCGACACCCAGCCAGGCCCTGCAGACCCCAGGGACCGTGTCCTGGGCAGCCAGAGCCCCAAGGAGTGAAGCTCACCTTTCCCTTTGGCAGCTCTGCTGGGCAAGGGCAACCTGGGGGCTTTGTCCCTTCTGCAGGAGCGGCTCCTGGTCCTTCTGGTTTTGTCCTGGGGAGCTTGAGTAGGAGGAGAGAGGGCCTGAGGCCAGGAGATGAGCGGCAGGCCCTCCTCACTGTTTACTGATGAATAAAGGGCGAAGTGAGCCCCACTGTGCATTGGTGAGCAGGCTGGGGAGAGGACCAGGGGCTGGAGCAGGCAAGGTGACCAGGTTCCCGGGCTGAGTTCTTGCCACATCTCCAGCATGTGCAGGGCCAGCATGGGAGACCCAGTCCCAGGTGCCCACTGTCCTGGTTCCAGGCACCATCTGAGCACTTTGGTGCCAGCACAGGGTGCAGACACAGAGCCTGGCAGGGAGCCCAGAGGCTGCACTGGCATGGATGGAGAGGGAACCTGCCCCAAGACCCCTGAGTCCCCCAAAAGACAGGTGACCAGTGTCACCAAGCAACCCTGCGCTTGGCCATGACCCCAAGGCCAGCAAAACCATTTGTCTCCATGAAGTAACAGCACAGGCCCCTCTCCGGCTGTCCCCACCCTGCACACCCACCACTGGCCACACACCGCACACATACTTATGGCTGCTGCCCAGGGCATCCCTAGCCACTGTCCTCCACCCACCACCCCACGGAAGACCCTTGCCGCAGATCCCACGAGCCAAGGACATCCAGGCCACCCGAGCTCTGACCCCAGCCTCCTCCCACCCCCAGAGCCTCTTGGGGTCCCCTCTCCAGCTTGGGATACAGACTCCACACCGGGCTCCCTCAGACAGAGCTTGCCCGACCCAGCTGCCAGCCGCTATGGCTCAGGACCCTCTGCAAGTTCCACCCAGCTGAAGGAGGCCAAGGCCCCAGCACTGTGAGGAACACGGGCGGGAGTAGAGTGGCCGTGCCCTGGGCCCTGGCATCGCCTGGGCCCGAACCACTGTCCGACATCTGCAGAGCCACCACTGCCCTTCACCTCAGGCCAGGCTTCCCCGGAGGGCAGTGCCCCGCCTCAGAGATGGACCAGCAAGCCCAGGAGAGGCAGGCATGGGGTACACAGGGACAACCTGGACTTTCGGGGATGCCCACCCAACTCTCTGTCCTGCTGGGCTGCCTGGAGTCCTTCCTGAGGGCAGAGGGTTAGAGCCCAGCTCAAGACAGGCAGCTGCCTCCATCCACATCCCTGAGCCCTTCCCAGCCAGGGTGCCCTGGGCCTCGCTGCCTCTGCATGGGGCCCAGCATGCGGTACCCGCCCTGGAGCCACTCACTCACCTGCAGCCCGGTGCTGGGTGGCCCGGGACAGCGCCTGGCCTTCCCCTTGGGGCTCAGTCATGTGGATGCCAAAGCCTGGAGCAGGGTGACGGGGTGTGTGGGGAAGAGATTCCGGGCAGAACCCAGGACGAGGTTGGCCCGTGTGCAGGAGCGCAGCCTGCACAACCACGGCACACACTGGGAAGCTCACGCCAGCCAGCGCCACATGAGCCGTTCCCTGTGGCAACTCCAGCACCCAGCGGAGAACGCCCAGCACACCCTGGACCACACACTGGCAGGGGGCTCACAGCCCAAGCTTGAAATCTTGTTCGTGCAGCCAGGCATGGTGGTGCACAACTGTGATCTCAGCACTGCGGAGGCTGAGGCAGAAGGATCACTGCAAGCTCGAGGCCAGCATGGGCTACATAGTGAGTTCAAGGCCAGCCTGAACTACACAAGGAGACCCTGCCTCAAAAATCAAGAAGCCAAAACATTAAAAAAAAAAAAATCCAGGGCCAGGGATTTAGCTCAGTGGTTCTGCCACATGCCTTGCAAGCTCAAGGTCCTGAGTTCAATCCCTGCTACCAAAAAAAAAAAATCCACTTGTGCATTTATTTCCCCCAGCAATGGAGATAGAATCCGGGGCCCCATGGGTGCCTCAGGCCTTTCTTTTGTTTGCTTCTAATCTGAGATAAGGTCTCAATAAATTGTCCGGGCTGCCTTAGCCTCCCTACTTGTGCGGATTATAGTTATGTGCCTCTGTATCCAGCTGATAAATTTTTATATTATGTGTATCTCACATGCTTTTTAAAGATAAACTCTTTCTAAAAAAGATGGTAACATCTCCCACCTCCTTGGGTGGGGATAGGCACCTAGGCAGGCTCTGCACCCCTCACAGATGCAGCTCACCCACGCCCCCGGACCTGGCACTGTCTTTGCTGAGGGAAGGAAGTGACCCTAAGTGCTGTGCTGGCCTTCAGGATGCCCTGGCTGCTGCTGTCTGTTTAAACTCTTGTCCATGGCCTGGGAGCAGGGACAGAGGCCAGGCCCAGGCTCAGGACCCCGGGGGCTCCTGCAGGCCTCACTGTCCCCACTCTTCCTCCTCAGTGTGTCTGCCTTGTCCTAGGCTGGGCTTGGAGCCCCCTCACGTCTCCCGCCAGCCCCCTGCGATCTTGGAAGGTGATGGGACCACGGGCCACAGCTGACGTGCTCCCCATAGGAGGCGGCAGGCCCCGGGGGCGAGGCCTGGGAAGGTTCCACTCCCTGCCCCGCTCCTGGCTCTTCCTCTGCCTCCTGCCCTCCTGCAGTCATGCCCAGAGCAGCTCCCTCCACCCGTGCCCTCTGCCCTGCCACCCTGGCTTGGAGCCAGCCCACCTTGGGCTGAAACCTCTGCCAGCTGAGCCAAAACAGACCTCTCCTCCTTTAGGGTTAGGGTGTCAGGTTCCATGTCCCAGCAGGGAGAAAGTGACTGAGAGCCCCCAGCCTCCCCGCTCTGTTCTCTGGGGCCCAGGGCTCAGCTCCCTCCCGCCATCCCTCGCCCGGTGCTGCCACAGACCTGGGTGTGTGGGGGCTGGAAGCGTGCCTGTCACCTTGCGGGTCCTCTGGGGCGCCGACATGGAGGCAGAACAGAGGCGCGAGGCGCTGGAGGGGGCTGAGGTGCCACGGGGCGCAGTTCTTGCATGGAGGCAGAACAGAGGCGCGAGGCGCTGGAGGGGGCTGAGGTGCCAAGGGAGGCGCAGTTCACCTGCCCCCGCACCTGCTGGCGGATCCGGTCCCTCAGCCGCTCCAGCCGTGTGTCACTCTTTCTGGGCCGCCGCTGTGACCCTGGCACCCGGGATGGCCCCTCCTTCCAGGGCCAGTAGGGAGGAGCACGAGACACATGGCCCCCTGAGGAGCCAGACAGGCGCCCAGAGGATACTGAGCTGTCCCTGTCCCTGGCCTCCTGGCCGACGGACCACATTGGCAGGCTGCAGGCTGTGCCCCTCGGACTCAGCCCCGGCCCCTCAGCGTCACTGTCATCTGACCAGGCCAGGGCAGGAGGTGTCCCAAGAGCACCTGGCTGCTGGGCCGGCCCAGGCCACTGCAGCAGGGCCACGGCATGGTCCTCAGCCACAGGCGGACGGAGACCGTCTTCCCTTGGAGAAAGGGACAAACGTAAGCAGAGCGTCTCAGCCAAGCCCACCGTCCCTGGAGGACACTGTCACTGGAGGGTAGGAGGGTCAGAGAGAGGCTCTGCTGGCCTCAGACCCTGTCCACACCCTATGAGGACCAGCCCAGTGTCCAGATGGGGACCTGAGGCTGGAAGAGCCAGGCCTGGTCCCGTGCTGACCCCACGCAGGCAGCAAGTGCCCCCAGCCCATGCTGTCCCTACCTGTGCTCTGAGCCAGCCTGCCCGGGGCCCTCTCTCCCCAGAGCCCTGGGGCAGGACAGGCCCAGCTGTGGGGCCCCCCTGGTGCAGGGCTGCAGTGCACCCCCTGGACAGGTGGGCAGCATGCCCAGGATCGGGGTGGGCATGAAGCTGAGGTGGGGTGGCGCTGTCACATGGCGGCCTGAATGCCTACAGCTGGACACCCATGGCTGCTTGGGATGCCTGGTGCTGCCAACCCAGATCCTGGCCTGAGGGTAAGCCTTAGGACGGTCACTGAAATGGGGGCGGTGGGTACAGGCCCACTGGCAGCAGCAGGTGGGGCTTCCTAATAAGCCGCCTCCCAGGGTGAGAAGAATTCCAGGCAGCCTGGTGACAGCATAATAACCCCATGTCACTCATGATGGGTGTGGGCTCCACCTGCACCCCAGATGCTGCCCAGGACTGGGAGCCCTAGGTCAGGCCTCAGTCCTGCTGCTCTGAGGAATCACCGCAGGGGCTTCCAGCCTCCTTCAGTGGCCCTGGCCGGGCAGCATGGAGGGGAGGAGGCAGGCTGTGTGCTCAGGGCCCTGGGCTCAGCACCAGCCTCAGGCTTACCTTGGGCAGAGGCGTGAAGGGCTGGGGGACCCCAAAGTGCCCCTTCCTTCCCAGGTGTCCCCAGAGAAAGGTTCTAGGTGGTATGGAGAACACTCAGGATGTTTGTTTGGTTTGCAGCTCTGGGGTGGGTGCTCCTGTGTGCCAGGCTGTGCTCACTAATGAGCTGCACCTGCCCAACCAGGGCTGCTCCTAAGGCCCTGGGCTCTGAGAGGAGGGGCAGATGCCAAGGTCAGGCTCTACCTGGAATGAGATGTGTCACCGCCTGTGCACCCCCGCCCCTCCCCTCTCTCACAGCCAGTACCTCTGTGGCCAGGTCCCCCTGGCAGCACCGTCCGGCTCTGCCTTGTCCACCCAGCCCGGTGTCCAGTGCTGGCCTGGCTGCTCGGCTCCGCTGGGAACGTCACCCCTCAAGGCTGAAACGGAGCAGACCCCACACACCTGTCCCTTGGTGACATTTACAAGAGATCGGCAGTCTCCAAGTGTGAGCCGTGACCTGGGCAAGGCTGGATAGGGCCTTCTGGGCACTGGCTGCAGGGGCAGGCAGTGTGGTCCTTGAGAGGCAGGTCCCGGGGAAGCTGGGGGACAGCAGGGTGACCACAGGGGACGCCTGGGAGCCTGGACAGCTGTGGGCAGCACTAGAGGACTGCTCCCCCTCAGGCTTCCCTCCATTCCTGGGGAGCCACCCCACCAACCACCCACCCACCCTGCTGCCCTGAAGAACCTGTGCGCCAGGCCTGGCCCTGCAGCCCTGGCACCCGCTGGCCACCAGAGCATGGCCACCTCTTGCTGCTGGGCCTTCAGGTCCCCAATGCGGCTGAGGGCCTGGCTTCCACGTGGGAGAGAACAGAGTCATCAAGAGCAGGAGAGGAGCTGAGAACGGACGTCTTCTCCTCCCCTGCTCCGGGGCTCTGCCCTCAGCAGGAAGAGGGCCCAGCGTCAGGCCGTCCCCTGCACACTGGAGGCCCCAGTGTGTCATCTTAATACAAGGAGCAGCCATGTTACATGCGAGTGCAGAGCCATGAAAACAGATGCCCAGTGAACAGAAAATAAAACCCAACGCCAGAGTTGCGTGGCTGCCTGTGTGCTGGGACACAACTCCCAGGTCCGTCCTCCTGTCAACCAGGGACAGGGCAGCTCCCAAGGCAAGGTACCCTCTGCTGATGTCCAGGTCTTGGCCCAGCTCAGCCCTGCACAGCCCGCTGCCCCCAGGACAGCCACCTGCTGGGTCTACCTCAGGGTGGTTAGGAGCAGCGAGGCCCCCAGAAGAGCCCGGCAGGACCAGAGGTTCAAGGAGCACCCGGTGAGGGGAGCCCCGCTGGCACCCCCACTTTACGGGGGTTGGGGCTCAGCCCATCACACAGCCTGGTGGGGACAGAGGCCAAGGTATCCCTACCGCCTGCCACCCCGGGACAGGAAAGAACAGCTGCTGCTGGGAGTCTCGGGGCCTGTGGGCCACTTCCTGGAGCCGCAGAGGAACCCTCCCTGCCCTGCAGATGGTGGGCACAGAGGCCACCATGCCAGGTGCCCACAGGGGCCTCGGGCAAGGCCCCCTACCCACCATTGGGCTGTGTTCGCCCCTTGGGGAGTAGCAGGACCTCAGCCCTCGTGGTCAGGCTCCTGGGAGGACCCCCGGCTGGATGCAGTGGGTCAGGAGCCCTGGCACCTTGGTTCTTGTCCAGCCTAGCCCCACCACTGCCCCCAGGGTGTTGCTGGAGGTGCCACCTCCAGCTGTGACTTGCACGGGCTCAGCCTCTCCTGCTGCCCTCCGCAGGGGCAGGCTGGCAGGGTGGCTTCTGGAGCTGGTTAGGTAGCGACAGTGTTTACTCCTCTCCACCTCAGCGAGGGGAGGGCACCACGCCCACCGCCCGGGCCCCAGGGCCTGATGCCAGCACCCTCCATGGCAACAGCGTTGGGCCTGGGTGTCGGCATGGCACCCAGCCGCCGCCGTGTGTGCCTGACAGGATCTCCGGCTGCCGTGGCCGTGCCCTGAGCCACCAGGAAAGGGTCAGGGCCTGGAGCGCCCACAGGATCACGGGGTGGGTCACCCTGTGCAAAGCGCAGGCTCCTCTGCTGTCCACAGCACAGCACACAGCGCACCCACAACACGCCACACACACAGCACGCTGCGCCCGACACACCACAGGCTGCACATGCAACACGCGCCCTACAGTGCTCTGCAGAGCCTTTGCGGGGCGAAGCAGCCATCCCTCCAGCCAACTGTGCCCTTCGCCCACCTGCCCCCAGGGCAAGGCCCACACCACAGTGGCAGATGCAAGGGTGGGGACAGAGTGGCACAGGGAAGACTGGAGAAGACTGCTCTGAGGAGGATGTGCCTCGGAGGCCAGGTGGATGTGCTGCAGGGCCAAGAGGCTGTCCCGAGCTTCCCCACTTCCCCTCCTATCCACCCTGGGGCTCAGCCTCCAAGGGCTGGAAGCCCCTGACGGCCCTGCCCATGCTCCAGGGAGGCCAGTAGGCCAGGACCCAGGGATGCTGCAGCAGGGAGCCCAGCCCTGCCGCCCCGGGTGCTGCCCCTCTGTGCTGTGTGGGCTGGCCAGGCAGGGGCTCGCTGTGTCTACCAGCTGAGGCCACAGTGTCCCCCAGGCACATGCCTGGCGTGACCTCTCAAGGGAAGCAAGAGACCCAAGCAGCCTCCTGGCCACCCTGGCAAGGGACAGTCACCCAGGAAAGGAGCCTGGGGCCACAGTTGCTGTCTGCAGGGGCTCAGAGTGGCCACAGAGGCCAAGGCCTCCGGGACCCTGGGTTTTCTTCCACAGCTCCCTCAGCCTCCACCTCACAGACCTGGAGGAGAGGCTCCTGGCAGGGCCAGGAAAATGAGCCAGCACCAGAGGGTAATGGTGCCAAGTCAGCCTTCTTAGCCCGAGCCTCTCCCTCCCCACCATGGCCAGGGGCCGGGCAGTGTTGATTTGGTCCAAGTTGTGTAGTCCCAGGACAGAGCCCAGGACCTTGCAGGTGCTACGCAAGTGCTCACTACAGAACTCCAGCTCTTTTTCTTTTCTTTTCCAATTCTTTTGAGACAAGGCCTCTATAAGTGGCCCCAGCTGGCCTCAAATGCAATCTTCCCGCCTCAGCCACCCAAGACTCTGGGATTACCACCTGGCTGCAGCGATGTGAAGGTGAGCCCATGTGTGGGCCCACAGTGGGACCCGAGTCCTCCAGGTAAGGGAGGATGGACCCAACCAGGCTGCTTCTGAACTGGACAGGGGAGGGGACCCCTCTGTGTTAGGACAAGTCTAGGGGAGAAGGAAAGCCTGCTCTTTCCCCACCTGCCTCTGCCCTCCCACGGCACCCTGGCACCCCAAGGTGCCGGTGGACAGATGGGGCTCAGCAGCTGCCCGGCACTTACCCTCTGGACAGCTCCGGGGCTCCCTGGCTATGGGAGGGCACTCAGCAGAGGCCATGGCCTGGGACCAGCAGCCCTGAGCTGGGAGCCGCCACGGCAAGTGCCCAGGTGCTGGAGGTGTGGAGGAGCCACCCCACCCAGAGGTTGCCAGAGAAACCCAGAGACCTGGGCAGACTCCGCCTCCCTCCGCTCTGCAGCCTGGGAACACTATTCCCTTGCCAGGAGCCTCACCTACAACACTGCACCGCCCAGGCAGATCCCCGCCCTGCTGGGGAGGGGGAGCAGCACTGGGGCCCCCACCCCAGACCCCCAGCACCCGGGCAGTGCAAGAGGGTCCAGAGCCTTTGCCCTGCCTCTTGTCCTGGAGCCCCCGATGTGCACAGCCCTAAAGTGCCCTCCCTGAGACCCTGGCAGAGCCTGGCCTCAGGCACCAACAGCTATGGTGGAGGGCACCAGCTTGGAGCAGGGAGGGCACAGGAGACAGCCAAGGCCTGGCAGGTGGGTAAACAGAGGCAGTTGGCCAAGCACCGCCAGGTCCCATGATCCCGAACTCAATACCTGCAGAGCCACTTGTGTGCCTGAGTGGGGCCATGGGCTCCCTGGGGCTGGTGAGGGAGCCACAGAGGCACCCGGCTTCGGGCTCTGCCCTTGCCCCCAGCCCAAATGCCGAGAACTTTCCCATGCACCATTAGATCTGAGGACTTCGGCCTGGGGTGCTAAGCAACGTGCAGGGCAGGGTTGCTGCTTCCACCTTGCCCCAGCCCAAACGCAGGCGCCCTGACACTAGGAGTCCCGAGAACAGACAGCCCGGCCCACGTCGCTCAAGTCCCTAGCTGTGATTCACAATGTGACCAGCAGGGGGCGCACTCTCTCCGTCACTGCCGAGAGGTCTTGCAAGGGATGGAGGGGGGATCTCTGCCACCCTCGCCCACCTCAAGCTGGGTCCCTCCCACCCAAGAGCACTCATCTATTCCCAGGAAAGTCCTGTAGGTCAGGAGCTTGGGGCATGGGGGGAAGACCAGGCCGAGGCTTGGTCTCTGGAATACTGGGGGAGGGGCTTATACCTGGAGGCAGCGCCTAGGCCCCCAGGCAAACCCCTTGGACCAGAGCTGGGCCTTCGTGGCAAGGCTCCCATCCTGGGCAGTGTCCTGGAGGGTCGACCCTGCAGCCAGGGGGCGCCCCAGCTGTCCTGAAAGCGGAGTGAGACTCAGGTATCAGGTGTGCGTTCACTCCTGCACGGGGAGGGGGCTCAGGTGCGGGACGAAAGTTGACCCTGTCCTTCAATGTCAGGGAACAGAGAAGCCCACCCACCCGAGGGCTGAGCATGGAATCTGGAGCTCAGGAGGAGGAGCTGAAATTCTGGAGGACTTAGGACCTTCTCCTACCACGGTCCCTGCACCGGAGGCCACCCCCCAGAGTCAGCAAAGCAAGACACTGGGGTTGGTGGCAGCCTCTGTGGTTCAGATTGGCTCCTCCTCCCAACACCTGCATGCCTGCCAGAGCAGAGTCCTGCCCAGCCCCCCTGGCACCCCAAGGTCACCAGACCTGAACCCAGGGCCAGCAGCTGGGGAGCAACGCTGCTTTGGTGGTTGAGACAGGAGTAGGACCTCCTAGGGACTGGAGCAGGTCTGGGGCTGCGGGTCACAGCCTGAGGTCATGGGGCCGAGGCTGAGTGGAGACCTTTAAGGGGGACAGCGGAGGACACCCTAGCCTCCAGACCACCAGGGCCCCCTCCAACACCAAGAACCATCTCACCCAGGGCCATGCCTCTCCTGAGGACAGGGCTGGACTCGGGTGGGACAGAGGCCTGCCCACCTCAGAGACAGGGACTCTGGGATCAGTCCAAGCACAGATCCCGGCCCAGACAGCGGTGGGCAGGACGGCTTGAGTCCAGGAGTCCAGGACCGCCGTGGGCAGCCTCGACTGGGGCTGGCACTCTAGTAAGCAGTGGGATAGAGCTTGTGAATAGCCAGTGTCCTCCAGTGTGGCCCCACAGTGAGACATGGTCTATTAAAGAGAGAAAGAAAACACCTGGGCCTGGTGACACATGTCTGCAATCCCAGGACTCGGAAGCTGAGGCAGGATGGCAAGTGTGAGCCCAGCCTGGACAGCTCAGTGTCTTAGCCAGGTCCTGTCTCGAAATAAAAAATACAACAGGGATGGGGATGTAGCTCGGTCAGTGCAGAGGCCCTGGGTTCATCCCCAGTGCTCCCACACACAGCAGACTCCTTGTTGCCATCTCAGTGAGGCTTCAGAGAAGTTGTGGTCAATGCCTGTGGCCAGCCTGGCCCTCTTCAGAGCAGAAGTGAAGCCCCAGCTTGGACGCTCCAGCCTCAC